AAAAATGTTGTATGATTTGGTCATGAAGTGTATGACAATTGGATGAGCCTTTTATTATTAGTTTGTTAATTATATATATAATTAAAGGTGAATAAGAATCAATTTTAATGCTGAAATTTGTTATATTACTATATTAATTATAAGAACACAAACAGAATGAGTAAATATATTATTATTCTGCGTATAATTAGATATTTAGAAGTAATATTTTAGCATTTAATGTTACACCTCTAAAATTTATTATTGTTTCAAATCCATTAAAGGGTTTTTGATTTTAAATCAATATCAAATGACTTGAATTTTTTGAATAAATTTTAAAAATAGCATTGATCATTGTCATATTTATCATATTAAATTTACAGCTTCTATTAATGCGTTGAACAACATTTTTTAATTTGATGAACCATCTTGTTCTTTTCAGTTGGAACTTCATTGTATCTAATTGTAGATGCAGTTTCAACAGAATCTCTTGTTTGTTTTATTTTTTTTTGGTTGATGTTATTTGGATTGTTTCTATTTGTGTTAAAAATAAATATTTAGTTTTGCCTCAAAATTTTTTTGATCTATTTAATAATAATATTAATAATATTGATATACTTTATCTTTGTGATTGAGATTTATCCTTGTAGGAAGTTAAAATATTATATTTTCCATTATCAAAATTTTTTGCTCTAAAATAAATAATGATAATTTCAATTTCAATTGTTAATTTAAACATCTAATTTGTAATGTACTTACACATGAACAGCAGATAACAATGATTTTCCATCTAGATTTATATTGTGATGTGCTTCATTAATGTTTGTGTTGTTATGTGTAGAAGACCATAAATGAGGATCCATTTTTGTAAATGCTGGAGAAATGCAGCCAAAATCCAAGACTGTTTTTTTTTTCTTTAACCCAACCTCTATTTTATGATATTTTTTTAAAAAAAAATAAAAATAAAAATAAGGCAATAATAAATGGGTTTTTTCTGGAAAAACCAGGTTAGTAATAGGAACTTTTTGGGACAACATGAAATTAATATGTTTTGGAACTTTCTATAACCTAGTTTTTCTAGAAAAAACCTCAGATGAAG